AGGTCCAACGATTTGATCTAATCATTCAGACGATAAACTGCGATTCAGAAGTGTCCGCACCCGCGTATTGTTGAGATTCTGCGTCTATCAGTCGAGAGTTCAGCGATGCGTGGCATGTGGTGCTCCCCTTTGACCTCGTTTCGTCGTTTGAGGATTTTTCAATAAAAATCTAGCCCCTGCGGAAAGAATCATAATTGAGGATAAGAGACGGTGAAGGTGTGTATCGCCGCGGCCTCACCAATCGTCGCTCAATAAGTAGCCGATACATTGCCAGCCGCAGTGGATAGATTATCGTATATCTACGATCTCGATCCTCTTGACTTAGGTATTACGAGATAGACTTTTGCCTACCAGCGTCTCTCCAGAAGTAGAATCTGGCGATGCCTTGATGTCCTCTAACCTTGAAGGCGGGGGTCCTTTTAACAGGGCCTGTCGGATGCGATCCCATCGAATGCAATTGCGGCACCACATTTGGGCCATCGCTTTCCATGGATGGTGGCTATTTGAACGCTCGCACCACCTCACCTCGGCAGAGAACTGACCCTCGAGACAGTGCGATTCACCTAGCTGTGTAGGTTGGCACTTAGTCTTATTAACTAAGCCTATGCACGTCGTGTAGCCGATTTACTTTGTTACTTTGCGAATGCGCAAGAACAGTTTTTTTTAGACTTGATCGGCGAAATCCAAGTAGCCAGGTATCTTACGTATCGCTGCGGTCCTATATATAACACAGCACGACGCGAAACGACTGGGGCGGTAATTTGTCTTATTCTCGCGCTTTGGGTTGTGTTGGAAGATGGAGAGCATTGACTTCACTAACCGAGCCGTGACAGCTGAAAAAGGCTGAGTTTTATGACGAGCAGGCCATTTTGGAACCATGCCGCTACGCCTTTCAGACTGCGTTGACGGATACTCCTTCCAATGGTTCGCCATGTTTACGGGCCTATTTTCTATTTTTGCTACGGCAGGACTGACTAAATTGAGGCGGATTCTTCTTGTCAAAGGCTCGATAATCGACTCCGGACGATATGAAATTAGCGACATCTCAATGGATTGCGTTGGCCTGCGTTACTCTTCCCCGAGATGCCGTTCGTCGCTGAACTACGGGTTCAGCTGTAGCGAACATTCGAATTGTGCAGGCCGGGTTTGTATTTGGCGGCTTATCTCTATACCAAATGAAGGACCTCCCCGCCTGGAATGAACTATTCTCTTTACTGAAGGCACTTGCCCTCGAAGATCGCGAGAAAAGGCGCCCGCGCGCGTCCACGCCGCCCGTCTGAGTCGAGCCGAACGCTTTGAAGTGGAGGGGAAGGATCACCGCTCTTGGATTACTAACGGATTCATAAGTAAGAGGCGTACCATCCATTGAATTTGTATTTGACCGATATTTCGTGGATAAATTGGTAGAACGCCTGAGTTGAACATTACGGAAGCCAAGTGGATTTCAGATAACGTTTGTCATTGCATGGCCCGCCTGGCATGCATCTGTGTTTTCGATTGGCAGGTGTAACACATGAAAGGCATTCATATTGACGCGGAGGGTATGGGTCGCTATGTATGGCAATAGGGATGGATTCAAAAATGGGCACGTTGTTAGGTGAGTCGGTCCCCTGCTCCTATACCTCGATATCTGTCCACACTGAAGGATAGCCGCCGTTCCGTATCCTGATCCGCTAAGAGGGAATACAATTACCATCGTCAGGTCTCTACCAATAGATTGTTAAGCCGCATAGGTTTGTATCCCCATAACTTGTGAGCTTTCGTGCTAACTTTGATGCGTTACAAAAATGGTTACCGGGCACCCACAAGTCCTGACTTCCAAACCAATAAATTGTGCAATGGATCACCAGTCCATCAATCCCTTGCGGCAGCCGTAGTATCTTCTCCCGCCCCCAAATCCCCCGCGATCTCCTCCAGCTGTTCCAGCGCGGCCCGTAGGTCTTCCATGATCTCTTCGGCGATCTGGTTGGGCGGCGGGCAGTTTTCGGAGTCTTCGAGGCTTTCGTCGCGGAGCCAGAAGATGTCCAGGTTGGCCTTGTCCCGCTGGGTTAGTCTTCGTAGGTGAAGCGGTGGAACCGTTCGGTCTCTGCGCGTTGCGTGCGGTCGTCGGCGTGGTAGCAGGACACGAAGTCGTCCAGGTGCGCGCGGGTCTAGCGGGTTGGTTTTCAGGGTGAAGCGCCGGTTGGTGCGCAGGTCGTAGATCCACAGCTCCCGCGTCCACGGCGTCTCGCTGGCCGGCTTGCGGTCGAAGAACAGCACGTTGGCCTTGACCCCCTGGGCGTAGAACACGCCGGTGGGCAGCCGCAGCAGGGTATGCGCGTCGCACTCCTGCAATAGACGGCGGCGGATGGTCTCGCCGGCGCCGCCCTCGAACAGCACGTTGTCGGGCAGGACGATGGCCGCGCTGCCGTTGATTTTCAGCAGCGTGCGGACGTGCTGCAGGAAGCTCAGTTGCCGGTTGCTGGTGGTGGCCCAGAAATCGGGACGCTCCACCGTCAGGCTCTGCCGCTCCGTCTTGCCCGCGGCGTTGACGTAGGTCAGCGTGGACGTGCGGCCGAAGGGCGGATTGGTCAGCACCATGTCGTAGTGGTCGCTGGGCGGCGCGCGCAGGCTGTCGTCCACCACGATGTTGGTGCGGTCGCCGCCGATGCCGTGGAGGTACAGGTTCATCACGCCGAGACGCGCCGCGCTGTCCACGATCTCCCAGCCGTGCAGCGCGTCGCTTTGCAGATGGTCCCGCTGCTCCCGGTTCATGGTCGGGTGATGCTGCACGATGTAGTCGTGGGCGGCGCAGCAGGAACCCGCCGGTGCCGCAGGCCGGGTCGCAGATGGTCGTGTCCGGCCCGGGCCGCATCACGTCCACGATGGCTTCGATGAGCGGGACGCGGCGTGAAGTACTGGCCGGCGCCCGTCTTCACGTCCTGGGCGTTGCGCTCCAGCAGCGACTCGTAGGCGTCGCCCTTGACGTCGGCGCTGAGGCCGTGCCAGTTCTCGCTGTCGATGAGCTCCTTGACCAGCCGGGTCAGCATGGCCGGTTCCTGGATGCGGCTCTGCGCCTTGCTGAAAATCACCCCCAGCGTGCCCTCCTGCTGGGACAGGGTTTCCAGCGTGCGCGGTAGTGTTGATCCAGATCCGCGCCGTCCCGCGCCAGCAGGCTGGGCCAGTCGCAGCCCTCGGGAATGGGCGGCGGCTCGGTGGTCGGCCAGCATGGTGAAGGGTGGCTGGGTCAGCTCGTGCATCATCTTGAGGAAGATGAGGTAGGTGAGCTGCTCCAGGTAGTCGCCGTAGGACAGGCCGGCGTTGCGCAGCACGTCGCAGTAGTTCCACAGCTTCTGCCCGACGGTGGTTGCGGTGGTCATGGGGCGGCCTACTGAGCGTCGAAGACCAGCGCGCGGATGTTGAACACGAAGCCCGGCAGTTCCGGGTCGCCGCTCACCACCTCGGGGTCGTCCAGAACCAGGGGTTCGGCGCTCGGGAAGGTAGATATGCACCTGCCGTCGGAAGGGGTCGATCAGCCAGCCCAGGCGCGCGCCGTGGGCGATGTAGTCATCCATCTTGCGCCGCGCCTCCGCCGGACGGTCGTGGCGCGACATCACCTCCGCCACAAAGTGGGGACAGAAGTGCAGCAGCCAGGTGTCTCGCGAGGGGGAATAGTCGGCCAACTGCTCCGGGGAGAGCCACGCCGCGTCGGGAGCGTAGCGGGCTCCATTGGGGAGATGGACGCCCAACCGCGAGCCGTGGGCTTCCCCGCCGTGCTCACGCGCCCAGCCGTACAACTCACCGGCGAATATCATTTCCAGCCGTGAACCGGTTTTGCTCTGCATGGGCGATACCAGCAACACTCCCTCAGCGGTCAGCTCCAGCTTGCTTGCCGCTCCCCGGTTGGCCTGGTTGAATTGCACCAGCCATTCGTCCAGCCCGCAGCCGGCGTACCCCGCCTCGGCCAACGCTTCCAGCGCCAGCCCGAACTCCAGGCGCAGCGGCGGCGGGATGGATTCTCCGGCAATCCGGGTCTCCTCGGGCGCCGTTGCCGGCGTATCGCCGGTGGGTTTGGCAACCATTTCACTCACCGTCCTTGCCGGGCAGTATGCCACAGATCAGGGCGCGGTCTGTTTCCGTCGGGGCCGGCCGTTTTCGGGTCGCGGATGCCGCGGCCGGCTCGGCCTCGCGCTGGGCGCGGATGCGTTCCAGCAGGACCGACGCCGGGCTCGTCGTCCGGGTCTGGGGCGCCAGTTGGCCGGAGAACGCCCTTTTGAGAATGCTCTGGCGCAGCCGCTCGGCGCGGTGCAGGCTGGCCTCCACCGCCGCCTCCGCCTGCTGGATGACCGACAACCGCCGCTCCACCTCGGCCACGATGCGGCGCTGCTCGGCGAGGGGCGGCAACGGAACTACTAGCTCGGACAACACCTGCAAATTGATATTCTTCTGGGCGGTCGCGGGCGCGAATTGTTCCAAATTATCTCGTTGAGTACGTATAAACAATTCGAAGAACTTGACGGCAACGAGTTCGTCAGCGACAAATCCGACCACGCTATCCGGAAAGCACGCGGGATATGAGAGTATCCCGGTATCCGCGATGTTGGCGGCTATCGTAATGCACAGGGTACCAGTGGGCCAAAGCCGGCTTTGTGCTAATCCAAACTCGCTGTAGGTCTGGCTATGTTGGGTGATCCATCCGTTTGAGTGTTTGACATCTCCAGTCTGTACAAACGGGTAAGAGCCGCCCAAAAGGCGTGCGTCGTTTCGGGGCCGATGTTTGGATTTCCCTCGATTGAGTTCACCTAGTTGCGGGAGCGTCACCCACACCCACCCCTCCGGCAGCGGCGGCAGGTCTGGAGGTATCGGGCGCGGCCGGCTCCTGGTACTTGCCCCGCCGTTTCTCCTGCGCCTCCCAGTGCGCCCGACGTCTCCGCCAGGATGCGCTCCAGCAGGACATCGGCGGGCTCGTACTCCCGACCCTCGGCGCGGGCCAGTTCCGCCTCCGTGGGCGCCAGCTCGCCGGAGCAGGCGGCATGCAGCACGCTGGCCCGGTAGCGTTTCAGGTTCGCCCGCGTCCGCCGCAGCGCCGCCACCGACGCATCCAGCCGCGTGAACTGCTTCTCAATCTCCGCAACAATCCGCCGCTGCTCGTGGAGGGGGGCTACGCCTAAGTCAATTCGCGACGAGTTTTGGTCGAGAAAGATCGATATGTTTTGTGTTGTGGAGCCTTCTCGTGTCGAATCTTTTCTTGTAAACGTCCGGTGTCGCCACCAAGTGATAAAAAAACTTGGCGTCGATGTGTTCGAATGCCGTAGTAGAGATATGAAAGCTCCCAACGTCGTGCGCTGGGATAGGTGAAGTCACTATGACAACTTTCCCAAAAAGTGTAATGCCCCAAAGGCTTTTGCTACACGGACATTAGGACTTCGAGCGGCTTCCACAAATCGATTGGGTTCTACTTGATCGTAGGATTTCGCGTACGAACCGAAAAAGTCTCCTCATTCAACCTCTCGTTGGACTTGCGTTCCGTAAGCAGGCCGCGTATCCCTCTCGAGGTTCCTAGATTTTCGCGTCTTGGGAAACGATATTCCCCGGACTATTTCCGGACAAAGTTCCGACCGTGCCTCGGCCCAGCAATCGGCAGGGTCTTGCCGGTCTCATTCATTTCCATCACGCCTCCACAGCATCTTGACGCTTGTTCGACAGCCAAGCCGCCAGTTCCGTGAGCCGGAACGAGTTGGTGTCGAACAGGCGCATGAAGGGGTCGTGCGCCTACGACGCTGTCGGCAGTGCGATGAAGCTAGAGCCGTCATCACTAGAACGTAGCGGCGGACGGCGAGGCGGAAACCCGTTTGTTGCCGTCCAAATGGATGATGTTCATCGCAAGGCTTCCATGATGGCGGGGCGGCCGTTTCTTCTGGGTCACGATACCGAGCGTAATACCCCATCTGTGGCGCATTACAGCGGACTCCAGGGCACCAAGATCGCGCCGTCCCGGAGCGCCGCCGGTCTCTTCGATCAAGATTCGGTGTATGGCGAGAATCGTTCCAACGGTGGGATACCTGCGGGTCATTGAGCCAACAACTCGTAGAGACGCGGTTGCGCACCAGCTGGACCGGAAGTTTGGGGCCAGAGCGCGCCAGGCGTGTACCTCATTGCGGTTTTGCAGCGGTCGACATACAGGCGCATGGCGTCTGCCAGCGCGCCTCGAAACTCCGTCCTTTTCCGCAGCGTGCGGCGATTTCCCGCATCGCCGCCAAGCAGTTCCGGCGCGGCATCGCGCCGAGTATATTGCTCGCTTGCGCGTGGTGACATTTGACTCTCTCTCCCCAATCAATGTCGTGTAAATCTGTCGGAGTGGACGATGATCGCCACATAAACGCCGGTCATGGTCACTGCCGCGGGTCGTATGCCGTTTCGCCCAGCGTCCGCAACCGCGTTGATGGCAGCTTACGCAGGTACTGGTTGCGCGGGTCCACCTCGATTCCTATTGATTCAAGGGCCGTTACCCCCAGGAGCGGTTCGGAGTCCGGCGGGCCACAGACGATGGTTACCCCGGCAATGTCCCCCATCAATTCGATCTCGCCCACCGCGACTCCCAACCGAATCTCGCTGCCGTCGGCCAGGCTGTACACCCGCTCCGATCGAGGAGCAAGGCCAATGGCCTCCAGATGCTGCTGAGGCACGAGGCAATCCATGGCCCCGGTGTCCACGACGAACTCTCCTTCCCAGGTTTGCTCCGGCTGCGCCGGGTTGCGGATGATGGCGGTGACGTGTGTGATACCCAATTTCAGCCTCCGGACTGCGCCAGCAGTTCCATCAGTCGCCGGTTGCGTTCCAGGCTGTCCCGATAGTGTGCCATCACTTCGGGCCGCACCCCCGGCCGATTGACTCGCCACTTTGCGATGTACAGCCGCATGGCTTCTTCAAGGACGGCGTCGCAGTCCCGGCCTTCCTCGCGGGCGATTTCCCGCATCGCCGCCAACAGTTCGGGCGCGGCTCGGCCGGTGAATTGTTCCTTGGCAGTTGCAGCCATCAGTCTCTATCCCAAATCAACGTAATGCATTCTGGGTGACCCGGCGGAGGGTCAAGGCGGACGCCTACTCACGCTTTACCCACTTGGTCATCGCGAGGAGCGCAGCGACGTGGCGATCTCGTTGAATTGAGCGAATCATCCGGCGACGAGATTGCCACGCTGCGCTCGCAATGACAACGGGGGCGGCGAGATTGCCACGCTGCGCTCGCAATGACAACGGGGGCGACGAGATTGCCACGCTGCGCTCGCAATGACAGGTGGGTCGCTCGCAATGACAACGGGGGCGACGGGATTGCGCGCTGCGTTTGCGACATCGTGGGGCGTTCGCAATGACCGATCTTGCGCAATGGGTACGCGTGAGGGGTTGCCTACCGCACCAATCCAGGTTCAGCTCGTCATGATTGACTGCAAATCGTCGCCGAAGGACGGTTGTAGGCTCCCATCAGGCCGCCCTGCTGGTTGAAGGGCGCGTACTCGAAGTCGGCGGGGCTCGATGCTGACGCTGCCCGCGATTGTGGTCGCGGATGGCCTCCAGCCATTGTCCTGCTCGGGCGGTGAACGCCCGGCCCGCCGTTTCCTGCATGGCCAGCCACCCCTCGAACCGGCGGTTGACGTGGTCGGCGAAGGGGGCCAGGTCGTCGGCGTCGCCGATGGCGTAGCGCACCAGCGCGACGATGTCCGCCAGCGCCCGCTGCCCGGAGCCGCGCACGCGGGACTCGTCCAGCCGCTGTACGCCTGCCATAGTCCGCTCGGTGTTCCACGAGACGGGGCGCGCCTGCATCGTGTCGGCCAGCGCGCGGATGTCGTTGAGGCGGAGCCGCTGCCGGTAGGGCCGCGCGTAGAGTACTGCCAAGGCGGTGATCTCGTCCCGGTTGGCCTCGATGAACTGCCGGAAGGACTGCACCTCGTCCCGGCACGCGTCCTCGGTGAAACCGGCTTCAGCACCACGTCCTGCTCACGTATCGCTGGTCGTGCTCATCAGGCCTGGTGAATGGTCTGCAACCGCTGGCGCAGCTCGGGGTTGGACACGAAGGGCGCCGCGGCGTCATACCGCAGTTGTGTTTCCGCCTCCGCGATGGCCTCCGGCGGCGGTTCGTCCAGTCCGGTGGTTTGCCTGGCGGCTGCCAGGGCCGCGTCGGGGTCGGGGCCCGCAAACAGGCCGGTGATGAGAGTTTGCAACGGCGTGCCGCCGGCGGCAGTTCGATGGACTCCCGTTCCGCCGGGTGATGATCTTGCGGGACAACCGCGCCAGCCGGCTGGCCAGGGAAGAGAGATGGTCGGGTTCCAAGCTGCCGAAGGCGATGAGATCAAGCAGCCGCCCGAAAGATACCGTCGGTTCGCGCTCCAGCGAGTAAGAGTCGGACATCTCCGACTCGGTTACGCCCACGGCGTCCACGATGACGAAGCGGTCCTTATTGGTGGCGTCGGGCGTGACGGCGTTGAACTCGGTGGGGGAGATGACGCGGACGCCGCGGCCCTTCATCTGCTCGAAGAAGTTGCGGTTCTGCACGTTGCGCATGAAGAACACGATCTCGACGGGCTTGATGTCGGTGCCGGTGGCGATCATGTCCACCGTCACCACGATGCGGGGGTGGTAGCTGTTGCGGAATCCTGGATCAGTTGTTCCGGCGGCGGCACCTTGACGGTGTAGGTGATCTTCTGGCAGAAGTCGTTGCCCTTGGCGAACTCTTCTCGCACGACCTTCACGATGTCGTCGGCGTGGCTGTCGTCCTTGGCGAAGATGATGGTCTTGGGAACCTCGCTGCGACCGGGGAAAATCTCGGTGAACAGCCGGTCGCGGAACGTGCGGATAACCGTGCGGATCTGGTCCTCGGCCACCACGTCCCGGTCCAGCTGGCCGGCGGTGTAGGTCAGGTCCTCATCCAGTTGTTCCCAGCGCACCAGTCGCGTCATGCGATCCATGCGGTCAACGTATTGCCCCGCCTGGATGGTGGAACCTTCCTCGGTGATCTGGGTGCGGATGCGGTAGATGTCCGAATCGACGTTGACGCCGTCGGCCACCGCCTGCTCGTGGGGGTACTCCATCACCAGGTTCTGGTGGAAGAACCCAAAGGTCTGCGACGAGGGCGTCGCGGTGAGGCCAATGAGGAAGGCGTCGAAGTATTCGAGCACCTGCCGCCACAGGTTGTAGATGGAGCGGTGGCACTCGTCGGTGATGATGAAGTCGAAGGTGTCGATGGGATATAAGGGGTTGTACTCCACCGTCGCGGCGTCCGTTTGATCCTGGGGCGGGTCGAAGCCGGAGCGTTCGTCCTGATCGGTGTCCAGGTCCTCGCCGCGCAGCATGGAGTACACGCGCTGGATGGTGGAGATGCAGACACGGCTCATCGGGTCGATATTGCCTGACTGCATCAATTGGGCGTTGTAGAGCTCAGTGAACTTCCGGCGTTCGTCCGGCGCGGTGAACCCCTGGAACTCACGCAGCGTTTGCCGGCCCAGGTTGTTGCGGTCCACCAGGAACAATACCCGCTTCGCGCCGGCATGCTTGATGAGGCGGTACGCCAGGTTGCAGGCGGTGAAGGTCTTGCCGCTGCCGGTGGCCATCTGGATCAACGCCCGAGGTTTCGCCAGCGCCAGCGATTCCTCCAGGTTGCCGATGGCCCGGGCCTGCACGGGCCAGAGTGCGCCGGCATCCAACGGAGGCATGGCCTGCAAGCGTTGGCGCAGGTTCCCGGCGGTCAGATACGCGCTGCCCGCTTCCGCGATTCCGGAGGCGGCGGGCATACCGGACGTCGCTCCGGAGTCCACCCAACGGGCAAGAGCGTCCGGCGTGTGGAAAGCGAAAACGTTGCGGCTGCGCGGGTCCGGGTCCAGCAGGTTGGTGAAGCGCGTCTCCAATCCGGTGGTTTCGTAGAGGAACGGCAGCGGTCTGCGGTGGGCGGGCAGAATATCAGGCAGCCCGTCGCTGTACTTGCCGGATTGGGTCTCGACGCCGGTGAGCGTGTAGCCGGCCGGCTTGGCCTCCACGACGCCGGCCGCGTGCTGATCGACGTACAGCAGGTAGTCGGCGACGCCGTGGCCGGGTTTCAGGCCGAACTCGCGCACGGCAACGCCCCGTGCGGCGGCGATGTTCACCGCGTCAGCGTCCTGCACGGCCCAACCTGCCTTCTCAAGCAGGGCGTCAATCTGGACGCGGGCTTTCTGTTCGGGGGTGGTCATCGCTCAGTCGGCACGATTCGAAATCGCAATTCAAGGTAAGCCAAAGCGACTGGATCGAATTGCCACCATCGTAGCCAATCGCGGTGCACCAGTCTACCAACGTAGAAGTTGAGACCAGCGGAACCTGAGCGACCGCAAGCCCCAGGTCAGCGCCGCCGGAAACGTAGACGATTCACCCACCGGAAGGACTGCATCCTCCGCCGCGGTAAAACTGCGTTAACCTCTGCCTGGAAACCTCGGCGGGTTTGCGGTGCATGGACAGGATCGCCGTGAAACCAACTGAGGACGCCATTCTGCCGGCTTGCGCGACGCTAAATCGCGCCACTCACTTGGCGCAAAACCTTCGTCACCCCGACCCGGTAAACGCTTGGAAACGGCAAAATGGGCCGAATCGCCCGTTCTATTTATGATAATTAAACCTGATGGTCGGGCATTTACTACTCAATAAAAGGTAGTTAATGGCGGAGAGGGCGGGATTCGAACCCGCGATACCCCGAAGGGTATACCGGTTTTCGAGACCGGCGCCTTCAACCACTCGGCCACCTCTCCGCATCGCGCGACCGTCTGCCGGAACCTTGCCGGCGGAGGCCAAAAAGCAGCGTTGGTTGACGCTCATTTATTGTATCAGACATCGCTCGCGCGTTGCCTTTCGCGTTCTGCAACGGCTCATGGAGCGGATGGAGCGGTCGGATGACTTTCGATAGAGCGTTCCATATAATGCTCCCAAGCGCACCGTGAAACCACCGCAACCCGTCAGGAGGCCCATCATGGCAACCGCAACCAGGTTCGAACGGATCACCCAACCCCTGGTCAAAATCACCGAAATGGACCACATCGTCCTGCGAACCAAGGACGTCGAGGAATCCCTCCGCTTCTACACCGAGGTCCTGGGGCTCCAGGCCGAGCGGGTTGAGCAGTGGCGCGCCGGCGAGGTGCGCTTCCCGTCGGCCCGCATCAACGCCGACACCATCATCGACTTCTTCGCCTCCGACGAGATCCCCAGCGGTCGCGACGACGTCCGCAACCAGGACCATTACTGTATGGTCATCGATGAAACCGACATGGAGGCGCTCAAAACTCGCTTCGAGGATGCCGGCATCGACATCCAGGCCGGCCCCGGCAAGCGGTGGGGCTCCCACGGCGACGGCATCTCCCTTTACATCTATGATCCCGACGACAACGTCGTCGAACTGCGCCACTACTGATCGCCGATGTCACTCCAGCCCCGTTTCTCGGAAACCGCGCCGGCCCGTCACGACGGGCCGGCGACGTCGCCCTACTGGGAAGAGCCGGCGTCATCTCCCTATTGGGATGCACCCGAACTCGCCGACCTGGACATCGAGGTAACCCACCCTGAGCCGCCGGCCGGCGGCGCGCCCGCCATTCTCCAGGGCCTCAACGAGCCTCAGCAACAGGCGGTCCTCGCCACTGAAGGCCCGTTGCTGATCATCGCCGGTCCCGGCTCCGGCAAGACCCGGGTCATCACTCACCGCATCGCCTACATGGTCGGCGAGTGCGACGTCCGCCCGTGGCAGATCCTCGCCGTGACCTTCACCAACAAGGCCGCCCGCGAGATGCGAGAGCGCCTGGACCGGTTGCTCCTGAGCCGCAGCCAGGACGTGACCATGGGCACCTTCCACGCCGTCTGCGCGCGTATCCTGCGCCGGCACGGTGAGCGTGTGGGGCTGGACCGCAACTTCACCATCTACGACCAGGACGACCAGATCGACGCCCTCAAGTCGGCCATGCAACTGGCCGATGTCGATGTGAAACGCTACCCGCCACGCGCCGTCCTCTCCCGCATCTCGGCGGCCCAGAGCGTGCTGCAGGACTCCCAGGCCATGGCGCGGGCCGCCTACGACAGCGACGACGAATACGGCGCTCACTGGATCGATACCTGCGCCCGCGTCTATCGTACTACGAGGAAGCGCTGAGCCGCCAGAACGCCCTGGACTTCGACGACCTCCTGGTGCGGACCACCCATCTCCTGGAGCGGGACGCTGATGTCCAGGCCAGTACCACCAGCGCTAACCGCTATCTCCTCATCGACGAGTTTTCAGGACACCAACGTCGCCCAGTATCGCCTCGCCCACTCCTCACCGGCCCCTCATCGGAACCTGTGCGTGGTCGGCGACCCTGACCAGAGCAATTTACGCCTGGCGCAACGCCGACATCGGCAACATCCTCAGCTTCAGAGCGACTATCCCAACGCCACCGTGGTCAGCCTGGACAGAACTACCGCTCTAACCAGATATCCTGCACGCGGCGGACAGCGTCATCTCGAAAACACCGAGCGCATCGACCATCAGCTTTTCACGGACACCCAACCGCGATGCCGTGACGCTGCACGAAGCGTTCAGCGAGGAGGACGAGCGCTTTGGCCGTGGACGAGGTGTCGCCCTGAGCCGCACCGGCCGGTTCCGCACGGCGACTGCGCCATCATGTACCGCATCAACGCCCAGAGCCGCGCCTTCGAGGACCAGTGCATGCGTCAGGGCATCCCGTACCGGCTTGGTCGGCGGGGTGCGCTTCTACCACCGCAGGAGATCAAGGACGCGGTCTGCTACCTGCGCGTGGTCTTCAACCCCGACGATGAGGTCAGCCTCCAACGCGTCATCACCAACCGCCGCGAGGGCCTGGGCGCAAAGTCGGTCCAGCACTGACCGCCTACCGCCGCCCGACGCGGACTTACCAGCCGCCAGGCCATGCGGGAAGTGGCCGCCGCCCGCGCCGAAAGCTGACGTGCCCCATCGAGTGACCGCCCGCGCCGCCCGCGCCATGGCCGACCTTTCCGTCCACCCTGGACCGGCTCACCGAAGCCTCCCGTGAGCTGGGCGTGGCCGACCTGCTGGACCGCGCCCTGGATATGACCGGCCTGGCCAAGCACATGAACGCCCAGGACGACGGCGACGAGCGCTGGGAGAACATCCTCGAGCTTCGCGTGCCTCGCCGAGGATTACGGCCCCTCCGGCAATGACACACCCCCGACGGCCTGGGCGCGTTCCTGGAGCGCGTGTCCCTGGTCTCTGACGTTGATGCCTACGAGCAGTCCGAGACTCCCTGACCCTCATCACCCTGCACCAGGCCAAGGGCCTCGAGTTCCCCGTGGTCATGATGGCCGGCATGGAGGAGGGACTGCTCCCCCACAGCCGTTCCATGGACACGCTGGCTGAGGTCGAAGAGGAGCGCCGCCTGTGCTACGTGGGCATGACCCGCGCCAAGGAGCGGCTCTACCTCCTCCGCTCCTTCCGACGCCGCTACCCCATCGACAGCGGCGTCACCCTGCCCTCCCGCTTCTTGGAAGAGTTGCCGGAGGATGTGCTGGCTTCGCCCGCGCTGGATCGTCCGCCGGGATCTCGCGCCGACTTCCCACGGCCTCAACCCGTCCCGGTCCTCGCGCAACGCCGACGTCGGCATCGGCGGCTCCTACGGACAGGCCCGCCGCGCTTCCCGCACTCGCCTGGGCGATGGCGCGGAACCGGTTGTGACGCCACCCGCGGACGCCTCCGCGGCAACATCATGAGCGCCTGACCGAATGGACCTCAAGCCGTCGCGCCCCGGCGGAACCGGAGCCCGAACGGGTTCCCCTGACGGTGGGCGAAATCGTCCGCCATCCCACCTTCGGCGAGGGCGTCGTGCAAGACGTTGAGGGCATCGGCGATATGGAGCAGGTCACCGTCAACTTCCCTGGCGCCGGTTTTGAAACGGTTGCTGGCAAGTCTGGCGCGCCTGGAGCGCGGCTAGGCATTCACCGCCCCGCGATTGTTTCCTTTGGGTTTTCCCTTTTTGGGTAACGCCGTCAGGCGTCGGATTGCGCATATCCGCCTCACAATCCCATTGTTATTGCGGAATCGTTCATGACGTATTTCGTGATAATAGTACGCTATTTATATTGTTTACGTATTGGTAACCGTTGGGAGATGTAATTCCGCGCCGCCAATAGTGCATTCGTGAATTCTTTCGCATATAATGCGGCTCCGTGTCTCGCCGCAACGTATTTTCGGATACCGCAATGGATGGTGCGCTCAACAGCGCGCGGCGTTCGTCTGGAGGAATTATGGTGTTGAAACCAACGATTTTGTTGACCGTGGCTGCTTCGCTTCTCCTGGTGGTGGGCATTGCCTGTGGTGGCGCCGGGCAACCCGCGCCGGCGGCCGCGCCGGCTACAACCGCTCCCGCCGCCCAGCAAGCCGCCGCTCCGGCCGCTACCACGGCTCCGGCCGCACCGGCCCAAGCCGCCACCGCGGTTCCCACCATCGTCGCCACGGCGACTCCCGCGGCCGACCAACAACAACCCTCTGCTGCCCAGGAATCTACGGCAGTCGGCGGGCGTCTCAAGATCGCCGTGACCCCGCCGGTCCAGGAATTGGTCCGGGGGTGGTTGGGCACCACCACGTCTGCCAACGCCCAGGTGCGCCATTTCGCTGAGCCGCTGGTTCACACCGACCGCTTCGACGGTTCTCTGCAGCCTGGCCTCGCGACTGACTGGGAAATTTCCAAGGCCGACGGCACTCAGTGGGTATTCCGCCTCCGCGAGGGCATTCCTTTCCATGGTGATTGGGGCGAGTTCGACGCCAACGACGTCCCCCACTCCGCCGCTTTGATTATCGGCGAAGAAGCCATCGCCACTGACACCGGCCTGTTCCGCGGACTATTCGGGCAGACTGCTGACGAACTCTTTGAGAACATCAAGGTCATTGACGACTACAAAACCGTCGAGTTCAACCTGCTGCGTCCCGAAGCTGCGATGGACTTCGTCGTCTCCGCTCAACAGGGCAACTACTTCATTTACAGCAAGGACCAATGGGACACGGAGGGCGAGCCGGGTTATATCGAAGGCGCGGTTGGCACCGGTCCCTGGCGGTACGAGAGCCGGCAACTAGGTGTCGGCGGAAATCTTCTCTACTCCCGCGTGGAAGACCACTGGCGCCAGACCCCGCACTGGGCCGAAATGGAGCAGATTAACACCCCCGAACCGGCGACCCGCCTTGCCAATTTGCTGACCGGACAGGTGCAGATCGCTGAGGTCAATCGCGACCTGCACTCCCAGGCCAAAGACGGCGGCATGATCATTGTGGAAAGTGAATTGCCTTCCATCCAAGTCGCCTTCGTGATGGGCGGTATTTACTCGCCGCTCAGTCCTTTTCATGACCCGACGGATCCCCACCTGGATGTACGGGTACGCGAGGCCATCAACCGGGCCATCAACCGCGAGGAGATCAACGAAACGCTGTTCAGCGGGTTCGGTTCCCCGCATCCGGTTTGGGGCTTCCACCCCAGCCTGCCCGGCTGGAACGACCGTTGGTCCCGCGAATTCGACGAGAAATACGGCTTTGACCCCGACCGCGCCCGCGAGTTGATCAAGGAATCAGGTCACGAAGACTATCCCCTCAAGCTCATCATCACCCAACTCTCCGGCGTGCCCGAAATGATCCCCATGGCCGAAGCCGCCTTCACCTACCTCAGCGACATCGGTATCGATGTGGAAGCTGAGGAGATGGAATGGGCCGCTTCCGCGCCGACTTCTATCGCCCCGGCAACACCCACGGCACCATCGCCCCCATTCGGGGCACCCTGCGCCCCGCCGAGGTGACCCTGCGTTTCTACAACGTGAGCGGACCCGAGGGGTTCCAGCGCATCGTCCCCGATCCCCAGCTCGACACGCTTTATGCTGAAGCCATCACCGCGGTCAATCCCGAGGTGAAATCCAATGCCCTCCGCGCGGCGGGCGACCTCAAGTTCGATCTGTACGCCGAGGTTCCCATCGTTTGGCTTCCCAGCCAGATTGCCATCAATCCTGAGGAGGTCGGAGAATTCATCTGGCCCGGCAACATCAACACGGCTATCACTCACATGGAATACATCACCACCGCCCAGTAGCATTCAGGCATTTTCCCAGTCAATCCGAGGGGGCGAATGCAAGTTCGCCCCTGACCACCAATAAGGCGACCAATCGTGCAACGCTACATCCTGATACGGATCATCCAGTCCATTCTGGCGCTGCTGGTGCTGACCGTGATCGTGTTCAGCCTGGCCCGTATCGCCGGCGACCCGCTGGATGTGCTCCTTCCGCTGGAAGCCACGGTGGAGGACGCGGAACGCGTGCGGGCCGCCTGGGGTCTGGATAAGCCGGTCTATATCCAGTACTTCAAGTTCCTCGGCAACGCCCTGACCGGCGACTTTGGAGAGTCCATCAAGCACCGCGACCAGCAGGCCATCGAACTAGTGTTCGACCGGTTGCCGGCCACGGCCCAGTTGGCCGGCTTGGCGTTGGTGGTGGCTACCGTGATCGCCATTCCCGTGGGTGTGTTGTCGGCGGTCAAGAAGGACACCGTCTTCGACTACGCGGGGAAAGTCCTGGCCCTTACCGGCCAATCTCTGCCGGCCTTCTGGTTGGGATTGGTCCTGATGTGGATCTTCGCCGTCAATCTGGAACTGGTGCCTACATCCGGCAAATCGGCATCAGGTCGTTCATCCTGCCGGCCATCGCCATCGGGTGGTTCCAGGTTGCCGCCTTGATGCGTCTGGTGCGCTCGTCGATGCTGGACGTTCTGGACACCGAGTACGTCAAGCTGGCCCGCATCAAGGGCGTATCCGAGCGCAAGGTCGTTTGGAAGCATTGCCTCCGCAACGCGGCCATTGCGCCGTTCACCTACTTCGCGTTGATCCTGGGTTCGTTGATGGTGGGCAGTGTCAGCATCGAGTTCGTTTTCGCCTGGCCCGGCGTCGGCCTGCTGGCGGTGGACAGCACCATTGCCCGTGACTTCCCGGTCATCCAGGCGGTGGTCATCGTCTTCTGCCTGGTCTACATCACGGCGAACCTGCTGGTGGACATCGCGTACGCCTACGTTGACCCCCGCATCCGCTTCAGTTAGTGCAGCTGTATTGTGCGCTTGCGCCTGCCGGCTACCGGCGTCAAATGAGGAGATCGATCCGACATGGCCGCTGAAGACCGCACCAGCCTGACCCCGGCCGCTGCCGAAGGTGACGCCGAAATTGTCGCTGGACAGTCCCGGCCGCGCCAGATCGCTTCGGAACTGCGACGTCTCCCCACGCTTCCCGTGGTCATCCTCCTGGTCGTCCTGGTGATCCCGGCCATATTCGCCAACCAGATCGCGCCCCATGATCCAACCCGCGGTAGCCTTGGTGACCGGTTATCCCCGCCGGTTTGGCAGGAAGGCGGCAGCAGTAATTACATTCTCGGCACCGACAAGGTCGGCCGCGACATCCTGACCCGCATCATCTATGGGAGTCGCATCTCCGTGGTCATCGCCGTGATCGCCATCGTGGTCAGTGGTTTCATCGGAACGGCCCTTGGCATCGCGGCCGGATACTGGGGGGGTTGGGCCGACGCGGTGATCATGCGCTTGGTGGACATATCGTTATCGATCCCGATCATCCTGCTGGGTCTGGTGTTGGTTGCGGCGCTGGGCCCTCGCACCAGCACCGTCATCGGCGTCATCGTCGTGCTCCTATGGTCCCGCTATGCCCGGCTGGCCCGCGGGGAGACCCTCGCCGTACGCGTGCAGGACTTCATCGCGCGCGCCCAGGTCGCCGGCTCCAGCCACGTGCGCATCATGATCAAGCACATCCTGCCCAACGTGTTCAACAGCCTGGTGGTCTTGGCGACCCTCCAGGTCGGCTTCGTGATCATCCTCGAGAGCACCCTCAGCTTCCTGGGCGCCGGCGTCCCCCGACCCAACCCGGCTTGGGGCCTGATGGTCGCGGATGGCCGTGACTTGGTGGCCTCTGAAAACGGCTGGTGGGTCTCCCTTCTTCCCGGCATGGCTATCATGCTCGTCGTCCTCAGCATGAACCTGCTCGGCGATTGGCTCCGCGACCGCCTCGACCCCAAGCAACGCCAGGTGT